AGGGACCGCAGCCCGATGGCCTAGCGCAGGAGGGCGAGACCTCCGTAAACCGTGGGTAGGCGAGAGCGGGAGAGGGGAGGCTGCGACACCGCCTGGCCCGTGTAATTATCCTGGAAAGCGAGTGTCCCACAAGGAAAACAAACCAAAAAAAAAAAAAATCGGAGAGGTGGAAAAGATCTCGGTGCTTCTGAGTAAACCAATTTCTAAGGGCGTGCTGGGTCCCACCTTTTAAGGAACTGTAAGCTTCCTGGTGTTTGTTAAAAGCCCAAACCCCCTCCCCCCAAAAAACATCCCTCGTTAGATAACGCCCTGCAGTAGCTTTAATAGAAGTCCTCTAAAATCTTTTTATACCGTAAATATAGAAAAAAAAAACCCTGTAACGTAGATGATAAGTAGTGTTGTGTGCGCTTCTTTCTGTCATCATCAAAATCTTTTTCGTAGCTTAAACTATCTACATAGCAAAATACTCTTCTGTAGTACTTGCTAGCTGACAGTAGTTCAGAGGCCGACAGGAGATTGGTTGGTAGATTTAACCTGTTTAATAGCGGACTATTCTTTCTTCTATTGCTAAACAGAAGAATTGAGTCTCCTCTGACATCTCTTTGGAACAGTAAGTTCATTCAATCTAGATATTAACACCAACAAAGCAAAGTTTTGCAGAGGCATTGCTGTTCTTCTGCTGGCTTAAACGGTATGCATTGTTTTAAGTAATCTATTTTTTTTATTTGCATTAAAGTACTACCTTGAGCCTGCCACAGAAATTGGAGTTGGATGTACACGTGTTTGGATAATTAGATTGTTTATCCAGGGCTCTAGGTGTGCTCACATAACTCATCTCACCCAACAGCGTTTCAATCTAGGCTCTTCTTTATTTATTTAGTGCACCCTCTGCCTTCTCTGAAGATCCTAATGAACAAATATCTTCTGCAGCACGCCTGGAAATTCGCTGGTTTTGAGCTATTTTGGATAACGCATGGGAAGAAAAAAAGGGAAGCCCCCAACAGAGAATATCCTCCTGACCACTCTCTCTCAGAATAAGATCAATTCATTTTTAAAGCAGCTATGAAAATACAGCATGGGGAGGAGAAGTGGTCTTTTGGGGTGCATAGGCCTTTAACGATTCATTGTAGGGCTCATTTCTTGTTCTGATATCTTTTTATTTAAAGGGACGCAGAAAAGCGTACCATCATTTCTGTTACGGCAGTATTGCAGACAGGAAAATGAGACAGCGAATTTAGCTTGTCTACTGATGCCTCATCGCAGGGCTAACTGCTAGTTGTCTGTGTTTGGCTTCTGACATTTGGCTTTTTGTTGAAAGAGGACTTAATTGTTGAAAGAAGACTTAATCAAACTAGTTGGTAAGAACATACCCTGTCTTCTCAGTGTTGAGTGGAGATAGAATTGCCCGCTAGCGGGTTGTGGTTTTCATGTCAGTAATCCCTTGTTCCGCCTGCCACAGAAATGCCTGTTTAAGTAGAGGAAACTCTGTCCTTTGAGCTCAGTGTGTGCTTTTGAGGCAAGAGAACTGGCCTTAGGCATTTTTCATTACTAAGAAATTCCCAAAGATTCTTTGCTGAGGGTAGGCTGGCCACCTAATGTGAAATTATTAGCATTTATATAGTGGCATGGCTGCAGATTGTTGTTAGTGGCGCATCTGCGCTAAGCTCAGGTATTTGGCTATGAAAACAGAGGGAGATGGAAGCCAGCACTGGCATTTGACTGAGTAGAGACTAAGGACACTTCATTTGGTACACCTGCGTTCATCCTCGGTGCAGTGCTTCTTCTACCAGTTTTCACTCTGCAGCTGCCTTCTCCATTTGCCAGGGAGCTCACCGTTTGTTCTTCTTCCTCCATCCACTCTTCCTAGAACAGGTTTATTTTAGGTCAGCTTTTAAAGACTTAAAATTCTGAATTTGAGAAATCAACCAGCTAGAAAGGCTTATGGCGGAGGGAGGAGGAAGGGAGTTTGCTCTCTATTGTAATTATTCCTAATACAATTGTAAGTGCTCTGGATTTTAACTACCTACCTGCCACCCCTCGTTCGTACTTTAGGATTATATTACAGCACCTTGCAACAGCTACTGCTGAAGCGTTTGGGCTATCTAAGTAAAGGGTGTGTGCGTACATCTGCGTGTACCTGTTTACTTCAGAGAGATCCCAGTTTGAGGCTGTGAGCTTGCATACACCATGCATGTACATATCTACTAATGCTATTATCTTTGTTTTTCAAGTGAAAAAACTAAGATGCAGACTTGCTAGGCCTCGCTGGGTAGAGCAAGAAATTGAAAATCTCAGTTTTGAGACCTGAGCAGTTGCACAAGCTATTCAAACACCTTCTTTCTCTACATGTAAGAAATATAGTAGGAGATGCGTTGTATGTATTTGGACAGGTGCTGGCACAGCAAACCTACAGACAAGCCTGGAAACCTAAATCACATTAGATTTGAGGCTCTGTGCCATGTCCTCCTTATGCATTTCAGTTTTTAATTGTATAATAAAGGATATTTGATCAATAAATTGGGATTAAAGGAGCTCGGTAGTGATATGATGATTATTTTGCTACATCTATTACAGCATCAAAGAATTTTAGAAAGAACTGTCGGTGTTTTAGTCCTCTAGTTCTCATCTGTATTCAGGTCCTTCCCCAGTCCTTCAAACATCTTCACCTTTGCACTTTCATTCATGGAATCCTATTGAAATAAATGGGTTGTGTTGTGGTACAAAGTTTTTTGCAGAACCAGGACCATGGATAAAATCATCTCTCCAGCAGAAGAAAGTATTGGAAGCTCTGAATATTGTCTAAGTTCTGTAAGATGCTAAGCTTCTTTCCATTGTAAATTTTTTTATTATTATTATTTTTTTGCAGGTGAAGAGCAACTTACCCCTTTGAACCAATTTTGTTAACGATATATTACTGGTATTGTGATAGCTTCCTAGAAGGTGGGGGTGGCGTGTGGGAAGAGGATGTTGTCAGAGTTTAGGAAGATGTAGTACAAAAATCCTTGTGTATGCACATACCTCGGATTATCTTCATGTCCAGAGGGCATTCAGAGGCTAGGAGAGAGAAAATAAATGTATTAGAAAGCATTGCCCAGTTGTTGAAAGAGGTAGCTTCTGATTAACTCAGTTATTTATAGGAAGACAGACTCACTGGCTGCTTCTTGTTTCTATTAGTTCCTTTTAGGCCTTGCACTAATAACAACAAAGTGAAAGGTCCTGGGATGCTGATGGGAAGATGACTCCGAGGGCAGGGAGGATTTCCAAAGCAGCAAAGAGAATGAGGCTTAAGTCGCGCAACAAATTTAAGCATGTTTACAATTCTGGCTTTCTACTTACATACTGAAGGCAATGCTGTTCTTGCTTATTTTTGGCTGGGAAAAACTTTGGCCCTGGCTTCAGGCTACTTTATGTTGTCTTTCCAGCTGGAGTAATACTGTTTACTAGAGCCATTTCCTAAGAATTGGTATGTAGAGGCTGCAGTGCCCTTCATAGAGCTGGCACAATATCTGCAGAGCAAAAGCTGAGAACAAACTGTTACCTTTATTTCATGCAGGTGACATGATGTTTAATCTTGAGTGGGTTTCGTTCAGACTGTTCATATGAATAAAATCATGTTTGTGGATTGTGTGGGGTGTTTTTTTTTTCTTCTCCTTTCTTCTGTCTTGGTGTTGGGGCTTAAGCCAATAGTGCCCTTACTTCTATGGCTCTGAAAAGCAGCCTTAGACCTAACTGGAGCTTTTTTAATGAGCCACCCTGAAAAGAGAGTTGGAAGCATAGTTTGGGAAGGTTGATGATATCAAGCTGCTTTGAATTGAGGGCATACTGACATCTGTCTCCATGTGAATACACTGATTGCCTCTTCCGCAGCCCAGAAGTGTCTGATGCATTTAAATCTTAGGTCACTGAGAGCCTAGGTTAAAGTACTGAATTTGACTTGGCTTTGCCTGAGAGTCTGAATGATCTAGAGGTCATGTAACTGTAATGTAAAGCTACTCCCAAAGTTAGTAACCAAAAGAGTTTTGGGGTGACGGACTCGCATACTGCTCCCACAGATGCTAATTGTGGTAAGTGATGTGCTAGTGCTGACTAACTGTGAGATAATGTTTCCATTTGTAAAATGGAGAGAAGTAGTCTTCACCTGAAGTGTATGTGCTGGTTATATGCTCTGTGTGGTCCAGCACAGAGTCCATCAGCTGGAGCTGATGATGTGATTTACAGTCTTCTAGCCCTCTGTCTAATTTAGGCTCTCTGTATGTTATGTATTTCATTAACAGTGCATCACCTGAAGATGACTTATGCTGAAGAACAGTGTAAGTGCTTATAAGGATATATATTCTTGATGATAAAGTTATTAGTTGGAAGTACATCGAATGCTTAATATCTCAAAATTGAGACAGAAAGACCAATTTGACTTGTTTTGATGCCAAATTTGCTATGCCTTCTGAGAATGCAGCAACTTGTTTTTCTTACGCTCTTAATGATGCAGTACCAAAATATCAAAGGCATAACCTGCCTTACTGTTTCTGCCATGCATTTAGTGCTAGAGCATGTGCCATTTTCTGCCAGGAAAGCAGAATGAAATTTCTGTTGCGAATGTAATCTCAGCACAAACTTGTGTATTCACTTGCTGTGAATATACTGCTCCTCTTGAGACGTCCTTGGTCTGCCTTCATGGATGTGATCCTGTGTCAGTGATTAGGAAAGCAGGTAATACCCTGCACTGTTAGCACCTTGACTTAGCTGTACCCCTGGCTGTGCCACTGAATTCACTGGAACAGAGTCCTGCAGCTGTGTTTGGGTACTCTACAGAAATCTGAATCCATCAGAGGAGACCACTTGACAGCACCAAATATTTTTCTGAAGTGTGTGTTTTGATGCTTAAAGATGCAAAGCAGTATGTAGTGCAGTCCACAAAGAGTGAATTGGGAATTGAGCTGTATTGTTGAGACTGGCTCTTAAAGTGGATTGCCTTTGTATGGAAGCTTTTAAAATTATTGAAACGTGCATTAATTTCTTCAAATGTATAATGCAGAGGGTGCCATTTCCAGAAGTAAGTCAACAGAAGACGCAGCAAGCATCTTAATTATTTCCAGGATGGTATAACTTTGAAAATGATGTCATAAGAAACTTAGCTAGCAAGCTTAGTATTTTTAAGATTATAGAGTATCACACTTACACCAAGAACACAAAATTCTCTTTTTAGAACATCACAAATCTTAACAGAGCTTAAAATAACTTAAGCTTTTGCCCGTGTATTTTCACAATAATTTTTTTCCTGGTCTAAAATGCAACTTTTCCAGGCCCCATGGAACAATGAGCATGCAGGGCAAAGCTACAGATGGGTAGATCTGGAATAAGCCTAGGCTCTTAGAAAGATATGAAAGAAGGTGGTGTCAGATTTTAAGGACTATTAAATGTCGTTAGCAGCGTATTTGCCCTAATATTCCCATCTCGAGTGTTTCATTTGACTTCCATCTTTCAAAAATTAGCCATTAGGGATTGAGAGTAGTTCCTGTCTTTTGGGAAGTAAAAGTTACTTTCAAATGTTCACACAGCAAAATATGTCGGGTTAGGTTATAAGATGTGATTATTCCTCTAGCTGAGCAGTTAATCGTCTTTCCTTGTGATCTCGATGAAGTCAATAGTACTCTAATGAAGGATCATCTAAGGTTTGGGTGACTTTTGCAGCATTTCCTGTTCTATTCAGCATCGCATGTGGTTATCCATATTAAGAATATTGTTCAGTGATTAAATCCAGGACAGATGAAAACACTCCTGCTCTTGGTTAAGATTTTTGACATTATCTATATCAGTTGTGCTAGTGGGTGTCAAGAGTTGATTTGAATGCAAGTCATTAGCATATTGGGGGTGGACTCTGTAAAGATAGAGAGCAGGAAGCAAGAGAACAAGCAATAATTGGATTTTGAGATTAAAATCCTTGGCATGAGTTTTAAACAGTGTGTTTGCTTTTTAAATAAGCAAATAA